CGGGAGGGGGGGGGAGGGGGAGGAGACTGTCCGCGCCCAGGAGGGGGGGTGGGAGAGATTTGTTGGGCCGCGCGGGGGTGGGGCCCCCCCCGCGTGGTGGGGGGGGAGGGGAGGGGACCTGAGCACGGGAGTCGGAGGCCCCCCGGGGAGAGTTGGCCGCGCGGGGAAGGGGGGGCGGCCCGCTTCGGAAACTAAAAAAGGGGGGGGGGGGGGGGGGGAAAGGAGGGGGGGGGAGGGGGGGGGGGGGGGGGGGGGGGTACTCATTTGTTGCTTGCCGTAGTCATTTGACCATTGACCACGCGTCCCTTTCGAGACGGAGCCTGGAGGGGGGGGGAGTTAGGGTTTGGTTAATGTTAGAGGGGAGCGAGGGGGTGGAAGAAGCGGGCGGCAAAAAACAGGAGAGACACAAGAACTTGGTTGGTTGGTTTGTACGTTGTTCGATTGGATTGCTTGTTTGGGCGTACTCATTTTCAATCATGCTTGTTCCCCCTACCGTAAGAGGCGGAGAGATGTCCCCCCCCTAGAGCGACTTTCAAACCTCCATTGCTCCACAACGCAGATAGTGCCAAACACCAAGAATGTTCGTTTTGGAAACATCTCGTCGAGGGCTTTCCGCAGACGTATCGGGCTCTTTCCGCACCCCCTTAGTAGTGGAGCAACCGAGCTTTCAAAGCCGCTCTAGGGGGGGGTGCCATCTCTCCGTCTCTTACGGTATTTCTCTCAGGGAATACTCTACATTACAGGCTACCCTGTTGTATCAACAAACGAGAACGATCCTGTCCAACCAAAAACACTTTAGTTTACCGCACGGACACATCCGGTTTTTTTGTTTGGGGACTTTCAACACCAACCACCACAACACATTCCAAGGCAACAGACCGACCCCCTGGCCAATAACGATGACGCCCGCGTCTACAGGGAAAAATCCCTTCCTTCTTTTTACCCCCCCCCCCCCCCCTAGTGCTTACAACTGTCTCTGTAAGTGAAAGCACCAGAAAATAAATTAAGTCATACGCAGCTGTCATCCGTACGCAAGGAAGTAAGCACAAGATGCCGAATACCCTTAGCAGGATGCAGCTCACCCTTCATGCGACTCGCCGAATACCTCACGGCGCTTCGCGCTTGGTGATGTGAGAGCCTGGTCCGGTGAGAACCCGGCGTGCTCCGTCCCGGCTTTGTAGGGATGCGAGGTCAATGGTCTAACGACTACGGCATGCACGACTAT